AAAAAAAAAAAAAAAAAATCTGCTAAGCTGACATTTTAAGAGAGAAATCCATGGCATCTTGGTATCACTATAGGAGAACATTTTGCTCATTCATGAGACTTGATGAGCTCAAAGTAACACGAATTCAAAAAGTTGAAGGTCATATGGTCAAAGGGATCCTACCTTGCCAGTATAATTTGCCTAAGAAAAGGAAAATGCCAATAGGCAAGATCTCCAATGTTATCTAGTGTTGATGGGCCAAATCTATCACTACTCTGGTATGGGATCCTTCTCTGCTTGATTTTAGATCTTCCTGAGCTCTTTCACATCTGGCATTGTAGGAGAACTCTAACTTTTTCATCAAATTGTTGACATACTGGCTGCAGTTACTCCTCATGAAGGAACCTCAGGGGGGAGGGAGATGGGTAGTAATAGAAAGGGGCCTTTGAAATGAAAGGTGTTAACCAGGCAGAAAGGTGCATTTATTGGCTTTGCACCAGTTACAGTCGTTTTGGGGTGTATGGTATCCTTCGTTCCTCAGACCTTTGCGGGGAGGCATGAGTCCTGAAATATGGCTTGGAAACAAGTGAAGTCCCCAGTGGTGGAAAATGATGATCCTTCTTACCTTTTATAGGAATACATGGATCCTATGAATGAATACAATGCCCTAAATGAAGCCAAGCAAATGATAGCAGTGGCTGATGAGAACCAGAACCATCACTTGGAGCTGGATGAAATCCTGAAATACAGCGAGTACTTCACTGGCAGCAAGCTGATGGACTATGCTCGTAATGTCCACGAGGAGTTCTGATCCTTGCTCGTCTCCCTCAGAGCTCTGAAGCACCTTTTTGCTTTCCAAAAAAAAAACAAACTAAAAAACCTTGCTGCTATCTGTGTTGTGTGCGTAAGATGTGTTGTCCTAGACTTAAAGCCGTCCATATACGAGACCTACACCTCTCTTGCCTTCAGCATAAAGAAAAAATGGGCTGTAAGTAGCAAGGCAGGATCTGGACTGACTCAATTCACACTACCTTGTATAATTATTGTAGCTGGGAGTTCAGCTGCGTTAGGCTCGCTGTACTTTATGAAGGCATCTTAAATATTTAATTTCTGGGTTTGATGTTGCCTTCGAAGCTGGCTGATCTAAGAAAATCATCATAAAAACTAAGATCCTCCAATGTTAATAAGGGGGAACCATGTTTCAGATGTCTATTCTATTAGCATTCTAGGAAATCCAGGAATAAATTGATTGGAAAGCTGTTTGCTTCACTTGGCCCAGTACCTTTTTATATTGAGTGACATAGAGAAGTATTTTCAGCTTATAAAATCAACTGTAGACTGCATTGGATGCTGGTTCTCCCAATGTAAATAGGCTGCTAAGTTTGGTTTCTGGCAGTCTTTTATGTACATATTCATTTAATTCCCTTAAAGCTATTACTTTTTTCACACTGTCAGTGGCCCCTCTAGTACAGTTAGAGCAGATCCTCTTTAAATGTTATATGTACTGTGACAGCTAAGGTGCTCGTTAGTAGTCACCATTGCTTTTGGCTGGAATAGCTTACGCCACGTCTTACGAATATGTGAAGCCTGCTGTGTTGATCTGTCAGAAGGTTTTTGAACAAAGTATTTTCGTAGCAATCTGCTGGAAGCAGCCCTGTTGCTGAAAGAGCATGCAGCTGCCAAGAGGGGCAAGAATAGCCATAGTGCAGAAAAGCATCTTGTCTCTGTGCATTTTTTGGTTGATCTTCCCTGTGTTTTTCACATCGTCTTTCAGGATGGCTGCCCAGTGTTGGAGACTAGTACGTTTCTCCTTCCAAGTATGGTTCTAGCAGCCTGAAAAATCACTTTCCTTTTGACACAGGAGTCCGTCAATCTGATGCTTTACAAAACCAGATTCATTTTCCTGTTAAAGCAAATGGAAATTGGCTTTCAATCTGCCAGATTTTATACTTGCAAGTGGGGGCAATAGAGAAGTTCATTTAAATCACTTTCATTTTAGAACTGTCTGTATCTTAAGCCCCAGGGGAAGCTCTCGTTCTGTGAACTTGCAGGATTCTTCAATGAGCAAAACCTGGATTCAGCTTTTTGCACTATGAACCGTGTTGCAGCTAATGAAAATCAAGACTTTCAGATTAGAGAAATGTGTGCAGCTGTCTCACAAACTGATGGTGCTTTTATGCGTAAGAATGGAGAGTGGAACTAGTATCGACCTCTGCTGGTTTAATTTGTATCTCTCTTCACTGTGGTCCAGCAGAGGCAGGTGACAACCCTTGAGGGGGTTGTGAGCTTTCTAGTTAATCTATTTTTGAGTCTTATCTTTGGAGAATCTTGCAAAACAAGGGCAATATCCACTACTGTTTAAAATACAAAAATATGTTTAATTCTAGCCTCAGCCTTGTAAAAGCCTCTCTTTTGGGTGGTTGCCTGAAATTCCAACCAAGATGTTGTTATATTTGATTGATTAAATTTATTCTCGTAATATAATGTAAATAGAAGTTTTTGCTTTTTGTTTTGAAAGTGTCCCCTTATTTTGGTTAAATGGCTCGCATCAGTGTCTTTTTATATACATTTACCTTTTTGCATTAAATATATTTTCTTTGTGCTTTGGAAACAGTCCAGCATTTAGCTTTTTTCATTAAGCAAAAAAATGTAAAAACATAAGGCTTCAGATAAGAGAGATCTCAATTTCGAAACCTGAAAGGTGAAGAAGATAGCTAGCAGGGGGAAATCTTGGTGAAGATAGCCACAAGTAGCTGGATCTCTTTGCTTGAGCAACTCTACAGAAGCTAAGTTAGATGAGACTTTAATTAGATCAGGCACTTGGTTGTAACTGGGTTGCTGTGAGGGCAAGACTTGGAAAAAACAGGTGAGACACAGGATTTATAATGTCACAGGATGTGAAACATGGCGTCTAGGTATGTGACGCAAATGTCACTGGCATGTTTCACTACTTAATCTGTAGAGCTGTCTTTGCCACCAGGAGGGGTAGAACCTGAAGCTTCATCTTCATTAAAAAATAGAAGAGTTGAGTGTCATAAGCATTGCTTTCACCTGGTCTGATGCACCATATACCTAATTTTTAACTGAGTTCTAGCCACGTCAGGAGACTATTGCATACGTCTTTCTGACCGCTAATTTGTATTTTAAACCTTTTGATTCTGAATTGCTAAAAGTCTCCAGAAACTGGTCCCTCAGAAAAGGGTTGGTAAAAGATACTGCGTATCAGCGCTGTGCAGTGCCACGAATGCAAATGGCAAGTACTACGGAGGTTTTTGACCAGTTGGGATTAGGCCTGTTTGAATCACTGTCCCGAATCGATTTGGCCAAATCTGATTAGGAGACTCGGCTGCTGCTGCTGAATCTCCAGATCACACAGGCCCCACCCCTGCCCGCTCTCCCAGCTCCTGGCTCTTAAAAAAAAAAAAAAAAAAAAAAAAAAAAAGCCTCCACTCACCAGCTCCTGCCTGGCAGGGGGCAATCCCTGCTGCCCCCCACATCACGTGGGGGGCTGTGCCATGAGCCCACACATGGCTGCCCCACCTGCCCCAGCTCCCGGCCCTTTCAAAACAAAACAAAACAAAATACCCCCTGAACTCACTGGCCCCTGCCTGGTGGGGGGCAATTCCCACTGCCCCCCAAAGCCACGTGCTGTGTGGGGAGCTCTTCCACAAGCCCCGAGAAACCCCGAGGCCACTGCAGCAGCCAGTGAGACCGGGAATTTTTTTGTTTTTAAAGGGACAGAGCTGGGGTGGGCAGGGCAGCCATGGGGGGACTGGGACAGCAGGTGAGGGGTGGGGGAGCAGGCAGGGGATGGGGCCTGGCAGGGGGCCCCCCACAGTCCCCCTCTTCCCCACCCCTACTTACCAGGATGGAGTCCAGGTCCAGCTCCCTGCTGCAGCCAGCGGGGACTGCCTGAATTGCTGAAGCTCTCCGAATCTTTTCCAAATGGGTTTGGACTTTTTAATTGGTCCCCTGATTCGATTTGGATTCGGAGGTTCAGCCGCTGAATTGAGCCAAATCTCCAAATCGAATCAGCACCCGAAGCTTCACACAGCCCTTGTTGGGATGTTATGAAAGGCTTGAGAAGAGTGCAGGATTTCTTCTTCAGCTGTACACCTGAACTAGCTCAGGATATGGTGTTAGACATTCCCTTAAAGCCTTGTCTATAAGGCATGCAAAACTCTAAAACTCTTGGTTCAGAGATGATACTTTTTATTAGACTAAATTGCAAGAAATAATCATCTTTTTCTGCAAGCTTTCGGGCTTGCATGCCCTTCATCTCTATAACAGAGGCGGGCAATTATTTTGGGCAGAGGGCTGCTTACTGAGTTTTGGCAAGCCATTGAGGGTTGCATGACAGGCAGCCAGGGGAAGATAAATATTAATTTTTCTAAATTTTTTTTAGAGGCCCTGCAGGCTGGCTAGAATGGGCTGCATCTGGCCAATGGGCAGCATTTTGCCCACCCCTCATCTATAAGGCAGCATTATTCATCTTGCAGCTAAAGAAAGTGCAAGTTACAGGCCTGTTACGTTTTGTCTCAATGTCCAGCAATGTCACTTAAATACGAAGTGCATGTGCGTGTGTGTGTGTGTGGGGGGGGGGTTATGCTTTGCTACCCAGAGCACAGACAACACCCACTTTTGAATTACATATTTTAGCAGTTTACAGATTCACACAAGTTTAGGGCTGGAAGATTGCAACAAAATTTAATGGCTGTGTTGGCAATATTTCTTGTCTTCCTGCTCTCCAAAAAAGATGGTAAACCCAACTCACGTCTTCAAAAACAAACAAACCCAAGAAAAAAGAAAACACAGCAACAAAAACCAAAATCCGCTTCCTCACACCTTCAAATGAGCCATCATGTGGAGCTCCAGATCCATTGCAAGGAGTTCTTGTCTAAGAGTAGGTCCCTCCTTTGCAATGAGGTGCTGGGGAAGTAGGAGGATCTGGGCTGCATAAAGGGGTTTGGAGGAACCCATTCCCAGATGATTCCTATCCCTGAATCTTGCAAGAGAAACTTGTGTTTTTATCTTGTCATTCTTTAGTTTTCTCTTTCCAGCCTTTCCTTTCCCAAGTTTGGGCAGGCCCTGATTGGCAAGACCACTCTCCATAGCCAGCCTCTTACAAGCCTGCTGATCAAGTCCTTTTTTGAGCACAATTTATGGTAGTTTCTTGTTCAAGTTTTTTCCCTCTGGTCACCTGCCACTGCTTAACATGAAAGCAGTGACTCTGCCTGTTACAGTGCTTGATACCAAAGCATCCGAGCCACATGCTAGAGCTGTATTTCCTGAGATTTAAGATTGCCAGGAGGCGGAACTGCCAATAGACCAGTATTTGAGACATCTGAGGGGTAACTGGGGAATAGGTGCACGTAGAAAAGAGATGCCCTTGCAGCACCCTAAAGCTCTTCCATGAAGTGTGTGCGCTAACAATATTTACCGACAGAATGGCTCATGATGTCTTGAAGTAAATTGCGTTGAACTAGAATGAGAATATTTCGCCATGAGTTTGTTCTGCATTTGCTTTGTTTTCAGTTAAATGTGGGTGCCTGCATCTCAGCCTTGCATTGTTTGGGATCTTTGTCCTCGAGAGTTTCCATTTTAAAAAAAAAAACATTTTATTTGCTTCCAAATATCAGCCCCTGCTGTTTGTTGTCAGTGAGAGGACGTGGTTTAATCGATCAAATTTTGCGAAGGAAAGAAACAAGTCAGTAGTAGCACATGCACCGGATTGATATGATTTTCATGATGATGTCGTAAAGGGTAGGAAGAGACTTGCTGGGTATTTCCTAGTGGTTTTGCTGAGGTCAGGCCTGCAGGGGCTTGTTGTTGTTGGTTTTTTGTTTTGTTTTCTTCTTTTTGCAGTTTAGAGCAAAAGATAATTGCAAGAGAGAAAAACACCTGTTTTGGTTTCTTCTGAAAGGACTGGTGTTAAGCTGTGACTTTCCACAGTTCTGTCCAAAACATTAAAAAGGAAAAAAGTAATTAAAAAAAAAAAAAATCCGCAATCTGAGGCAGAAAAGAAAAAGAGCCCCACTGAAATACAGCCATCACGTTGCCATGTGATTCTCTCAGCCACCCATTTAGACTCCAAATATGCTTCTATCCAGTGTGGACCTGGCGGTGTTTTCTTGCAAGTTAGCTGGAAATGGACTTCAGAGTTGCTGAGTCTCATAAGGCCGGTTCTGGAAACCTTATAGATTCATAAATGCTAGAGTCGGAAGGGACCCCAGTAGGTCGTTGAGTCTGACCCCCTGCCCTGGGCAGGGAAGAGCACTGGGGTCAGACGACTCCAGCGAGGCGCTTGTCCAGTCTCCTCTTGGAGACCCCCAGGGTAGGGGAGAGCATCTCCTCCCTTGGAAGCCCGTTCCAGATTCTGGCAACCCTTGCCACAAAGAAGTTCTTTCTCATGTCTAACCTAAATCTGTTCTCTGTCAATCTGTGCCCATTGATCCTAGTTACTCCAAGGGGCGCCCTAGTAAATAGAGCGTCTCCTGTTCCTTGCTGCCCTCCCCTGACGAATTTATGGGCAGCCACAAGATCACCTCTCAGCCTTCTCTTGCAAAGGCTGAAGAGATCCAGGTCCCTCAGTCTTTCCTTGCAGGGCCCTGCCTGCAGGGCTCAGACCATACGAGTGGCCTCCTCTGAACCCTCTTGAGATTGTCCACGCCTCTTTTGAAGTGCAGTGCCCAAAACTGGACGCAGCACTCCAACCGCGGCCTGACCAGTGCCGCATAGAGGAGAAGGATCACCTCCCTGGACCTGTTCATCATGCATTTGCAAATGCATGATGATGTGTGGTTAGCCTTGCTGATCACTTTGTCACATTGACGTCTCATGTTCATCTTGGTGTCAACCATGACTCCAAGATCCCTTTCTACTGCTGAGAAGATCATTCCCCAGCCTGTGTGTTGCTGGTCCTTTTTACCCAGGTGCAACACTTTGCACTTGCCTTTGTTGAACTGCACCCTATTTCGTTCTGCCCATTTTTCTAACCTGTTCAGATCCGCCTGGTTCCTTACCCTCTGGTGTATTAACTTTGCCCCATAATTTGGTATCCTCTGCAAACTTGGACAGGGTGCTCTGTACACCCTCATCCAAGTCACTGGTGAAGACATTGAATAGCACCGGTCCAAGGACTGAGTCTTGCGGGACCCCACTGCCCACATCCCTCCAGGTCGATACTGACCCGTCCACCACCACTCTCTGGGTGCAACCCCTTAGCCAATTTGCCACCCACATGACAGTGTAATCGTCTTCATCACAGCCACTCCGTTTATTTATGAGAACAGAAGGAGATCGAAGGCCGCCTTATAAATTCCAAAACAATAAAACCTGTCCTTGATGCCTGTTTTATTGCAGGCCTGAGCTGGAGTATGTAGCAGCTGGACTGTCCCAAAACCTGTCTGTGACCTCCACTTTTAGTGATACACATCACTTCTGGGATGACTCATTTTCTGTTTCTGTGCTCTGCAGTGCAGTGTCAGGGTGACAGTCGGTCTTCTGCGCCCTCCCATTCATTTTACTAATAATATCGGTTCTATTATCTGGGGGAGTGAGAACTCTTTGAACACCCTCTTGCTTCTGCATCAGGAGGGCTGTTCCTGTATTGTTGAAAAGGTGAGTATTGAATAAGGCTCAGCATCCATGATCCTACATGCCCATACCCTTGAGGCAGTGGCAGAGATGGCTCCATTGCCATTAGTTTTAAGGAGGAGTCAGTGACTGATCTTGCGCGACTCGCATGCATAAAATGTAGCTGCTACAAAGGCAAATGCAACTTTAATCCAGTTGCATCAGTGACATTGCAACCCTGCTGTCATTCAAAGGCCTAAGGAACAGCCTGTATGTGTGTGTTGCTTCCAGGTAATAAGTGCCTGTAGACATGCTGCAAGGATGCTCCAATACACTCTAATTACAACATGTCGAAGCAGACTCAATTAATTGAGTCTGGTGGAGCGTGGTAATTATAGCGCTCCAGCACCCTCTGCATCTCGTGTTTCAGCATCCCTGCACTTCACAACAGCAGTTGGGGTGCTTGAACTAAATCTCATTGGATGAGCTTTAGTTCAAGCACCCTGCCACCATTTTGAAGCATGGGGATGCTGATACATGAGATGCTGCAGCGCTTTAATTAGAACTGCTCTAATTAAAGCACCCCCCTCCCACCTGCAGTGTAAAAGTGTCCCCTGTGCTCAGCCCATGTCTTACTCTGCTCTGAGATCTACAACATGCTCTCCAGGCTCCAACTGGAATAGTTCTGTACAATCAGCAAGCTCATCTGCTTGATTCCTTCCTTCATTTGAGCCCTGCACCAGTTAATCTAACTGTAGTGACACACATTGTATTCAAAAGCGTGTCTTACTCTATCCTAGCTCTGCAGTTAGTGCAATGCAGGATATCACCCAAAGAAACCCATGCCCCTCTCGCGTGTCGGCAGACAGAGGCGTGGAATTTAACCAATATCCTTTAAAATTACTAACTGACCTCTCCTAGCAGAGTTACACAGTATATCCTTCTGCTTTCAGAAAGGAGTGCCAGGGATTTGTTTTTTAGGTCAGCACAGGCTATTTTGTTTTAAAACTACAAGAGGGTGCAGCAGCAGAAGTCTCTTGATGGACTTGTTTCTCTTATGCCTCTGCCATACTTCACATACATATCACACAATTAACTGGTTAATCATGCAATAAATTTAAACCAGACACGTGCACAGTATATATTATGTAATTAACTGATAAATCACACAATAAATTTAGACTGGTCACATATGCAAAGTAATTATCATGTCATAAAAGTGTCCTTCCAGCAATAAAAGGAGCCAACAAGCTACAAAGTTAGTGCTTGAGAGTGTGTAACATCTTTATCGCTGGCTTCTCTCAGGCTTTAATTGAAATGTGTGGCTGGGCTCTTAGTAAAAGCAGGTGAAATGAGTGCATGAGTTGTAGGGCTAAAAATATTTTACCAGAAGTCTCCACTTGTTGGGTTCCTTTGAAAGGGAAAAGCACCTCCCGTCAATGGGGTGGAGCTATGTGAGTGGTTGGGAATTTCCCTGCTGCAGGCATATCAACTGCTTTCCTGCTCCCCAGCAGTGTAGATTCAGCCTCTCCTACAATTTACTTTTTTCTTACCTGGGAGACGAAGGTTATGGCAATGGCACGACCAGGTGAAACCCTATGGGCTTTGTCCTGTTGTACTGCTGGTTTGCCCTTCCTGCTGCTCTCTCTCATCCCATGCCCAGCGTTGACGTGTACTAGCCATGAATATTCCTTGCGTGGCATTAAATGCTGCAAGATGTGCGGTCCTGGTAAGTAACCCTCCTCATGTACTGAAACTTGGTCCTACCTCTTAGATGCAGAAGGCGAAGTCCAGCACTTAAGGAGATGGGGAGCGGTGGGGCAATGGGAGCTCTAATGTTCCTTACCTGAGTTGTAGGACAGGGCAAGTGGCTGTTGTAAAATAACATTTCCTAGGACTTCAAGAGTTCTTCCTGGACTGATATCAATTATTGCTGCTCTGCGTAGCAACCTCCAAGAAACCTGGTACCCCCTGTGAGGAGCAACGTTTTGTTCTTTATACTGGCTTCATCTCTCTAGGTTTTTTCCACTGGTAGTTTTGCTTGGTTCAGACACATTGCTAGCAGTGAAGCCACTGTACCATCTCACCCAGCTCGGAGTAGAGTTAAATAATATATAGGTTAACATACTGGTAGAGTCAAAAGTCTTGCACAGTCTGGTCTTAGCCCAGAAAAAAATCTACTGCTGAGCTGATTATTTTTTCTTAATTTCACGTCTCGGGCCAAATTGTTTAAATCTGTTCTAGCCAGCAGTATTCACTGTAGCTATTACTTACGTTTTAAAAAGTCTCTGGAGAAAAATCTCTCCTCTGGAGGGTGGAAGATGCACTAAGAATCTGATGAAAAGCCGAAACTATGGATGACAGGGTGTCTTGGATGTTTCTCATGTGTCTAGGGGCCAGCCCCACCAGCTGTTGTATAGATTTCAGCTTGTGAAAAGGGTTTGCTCTCTCTGAATTTTGCAGAGCTGCAGCTGGTGGCCTTTGCTTGTTTCCTTCTCGCACTTCCTCATATTTGGTAGAAACTGGGGACTGCCTTTTCTCGTAGGTGCTCTTAAAACCAAATGACAGCTCTTCCATCAGCACCAAGGTGGAAAAAAAAGTAATATACGGGTGCTTTAGCCATTTGGATCCCATTGTTGAAATGACTTGCTAATGCAGCAAAACTACCAAGGGCCGTGACATTGGTATCCAAGGGGCAATCGGGTAATAGTGTCTGTAGTCGTGTGAGCCAAGGGAAGTAGGGAGGGCGTACTTCCCACCATGGCAGGCAGGTCAGATCACACAGCTGCACGCTTCTTGAAAGTGTCAATGAAGAAAAAAAAATCAATACGTAATCCTTGCAAGTGAGTTGCATCTCACTTTAAAAATAACTGTGCTTTCTGTTTTCATATTCAGCTACCAAAATGAATAAGGAAGACCTGAATGGGGGTGGCAGAAACTGAAATTGGTGGTTTCGCAATGATAGTGGTCGAAACGGATCCTGACTCTTCAGCCTTAACTTTTAGCAGGAGGTCTCTGTGTTTTCTGCAGTGATGGAGATGTGAGGGCTTCTGATTTCCCTCCCCCACCCAGTATGTGAATCGGGAGATTATTTGCCCCTGATGCCAGCTCCTTTTTCCTGAGATGGATGAGGGGGTTCTCCTTGGCTGGTTAATCGTTAGCAATCTGATCCAGTTCTTGGAGAAATTCTGTCTTTAGATTATGACTTAGTTTCCTGGTAATGCAGGAGATGCAGCAGACAGTGAGTTACTGGAGCTGAGTGATAAGGAGCAAAGATGAGCAATTCCTTCTGGCACCCAGTAAAACTTGCAGAGAAACCTGAGATAAAATGGAAGTGGAAAAAAATCAGTGGGTGTTTCTCACTTACCCAGGGGAGGGGGAAAATGGGGAGCCGGGGGAAGAAGAATGAACTACAGCAGGATTTTAAAAGCACTGAGATGTATGGTGATGGTTGCTGATTTGCAAGTAGCCTTTCCTGTATCTAGGGCCATTAGCAAAATGGGAGGAATGTGGTTTGTGAGCAAAGCGTGGCAGGCAGCAAACCGATGCCTTTTTCTCAACTGTCTCTGGTGCAACTTAGATGAGTTGTTACATCGCTGAGCCTTGTCATCCTGTCTTCAAAATGTTTTTTTTTTTTTAACGTAGATTAATTGCCTACTTAGTGGCGTGAAAGCAAAGTCAGCATATGAAGAGGGTTCTGAGCTCAGCTTCAAATACACAGCAAACCACCCTGTCATTATATAGCGGCGGCATCTGGCAGCCTCAGGTCTTGCAGAAAGCTTCGTGCTCCGTGCCTGTAATCTCAGTAGGATTTTACAGCTTGAAATTAGGGCACAGACGACAATTTAACAAGAGGAAGCGGGCTGTCCACTCAGGCGTTGCTGTGTCTGTCTGCTGGGAGCATGTGAAACAAATGCTGGGGGGCAGGTAGGGTTCAGTCGCGAGAGAGGCAAGTGAAATAGCATCAGCCAGGAGTGAACCGAATAAAAGTGTTTGCACCCACCTCTCTTTACAAGTACGATCTGGTAATTTGTCTGTGCAGCTTGGGGCAAGTGAAATAAAACCAGGACAGAAGAGATGCGGCCAAACATTGAATTTTTTGGAGGCAACAGGCTTCAATCCAATGCCAGGACTAGAATTCAAGATTTGTTTAAACCTGGGGGGGTGCTTCTCCACTCTTCCCTCCCTTATGGGAGATGCTGCTGTCTCCTGTCACCTCTGGGTTATTCATTTAAATCATGACTTCCATCAGCTGCCGTATGGCCGATGTGAAATGAGCTTGTCGTCTTAACCCCGTTCTTCGCTCGCTGATCAGACACTCTAGGAACAAGTAGGTGGGGATGTCATAAATGGTGCTATGATGGTTGGGTCCTGTATCGGTCTCAGTAGGGAAGGTATGAGCCGGGATCACCCTCTGCCTATCAGAAGTGGTCCGTTGAGACTTGTGGGGAAGACGGGACTTAGATGCTGTCAAGCCACTGAGCCCAAAAGAGTTAATGAGTTAGTTATGAAACAAAAGTGGCATCCTTTGCAGCAGAATCTGTTCCCACCCCACCTCCATTTATATTTCGAGAGGACTATATAAAATAGGCCTTGGCCTGGGGGAAGTGGCATGGGGAGTGCTTGGAAGAACTGACTGAGAACAGAATATTGTGGAGAGGTGATGGAGCAATTGTAGAGAGGTCCCTCTTGCAAGAGGGATGTACAGGTTTGGCCTTCTAAAGGTTTCCATTAGCAAGATGCCATTCTGCTAAAGATGGTTATCTACTTCATGCAACTTCCTTTCTAATTTTAGAGCACCCTTCTTCTTTCAGATAGGAGCCCCCCTCCCACCTTTGACTCAGCAGGCTCAGTGGCACAAGTGATCCGCTGCTTAAGTTGGGTTCTGTTCCCAGTGGGTCAGTGCAATTACTCCATATTAGATATGTGTGCCCCTGCCTGGAGAATCTGCATTTATATCCATACATTGAAAAGAGCTGGGACTCCTGGGATCTGCCCTTGACTCAGCGTGACCTTGTCACTCGCTTTCTCTGGGTCCATTTTCCTGTTTGCAAAAGTGGGCTGGTGCTCTGCTGTTGAGTGCCAAGGTAAAATAGATGGGTGGATGCATCTGGGGCAGGGCAGGGTCTCAGGATCACTTAATTCACATTTACTTTGCTTTGAGAACTACAGCAGAAAGATGCCTGCACTGTTTTTAACCACTTAATTGGGGAATGTGACACCGGGTCTAGCCAGCCAATGTGTTGCTCCAGCACTTGGGGCGCCTGCTTATTCTTTGTCTGATTCAATGACTTGGTCTTGGTCCCTGGCTGCAGGTACTTCACTTCGGTACGTGAACATGCACAGTGTGCTGGAGAAGTGGTTCTCAAATGTTTTGGGCCACCAGTCTGCTGTCAGCATCTTTTGTAGGCCACCATACACCCTTGTCTTGAGCTGGTGTGAGGACATGAAAGTGCATGGGGTCCACTACAAGTCACAGATGAGCTGTGGACTTTTCACCATGGCCTTGCAGAGCAGGGCACCGCGCAGGAGACACTAGCCCCTTGTGCCATGGTAGATCTCTCTAAAATAGCTTTGGTTGTAAACTGTGACATTCAACTAATTGCTGCAGAGAGAGGTAATGCTTGACATGCACTGGATGTCAGGCACTGTTGGTGGTTATGCTGGAGCTCTAAATGCACAGACAGCAGCACTGGATCAGAGTCTGCCAACTTCTTCCATGCAAAAGGCCTGTTATTCTCAGCCGGAGGCCTTCACCTAGATGGAAGAGTGTGGGCAGAAGGTGTTTTTATACATTTATTTGGAGGACTGAAAGAACTTCTTCCTGCAAAATATCTATTCCACCCTCAACCCTGGTCTTTTGTATAGGGGAGGAAATACAATACCGCTGCACAGAGACAACAGAAACAGTGTGTAAACCCTGCCAGGATGGGTACTATAAGACTGAGTACAGCGAGGGAGACTGCAAGACCTGCAAAATCTGTAACATCAGTAAGTCAGCTGTTGCTTCTTATAAGCTGCTGCTTATAGAGCGATTTTTTTTCTATAAGGGGTAGGGAGGGCTGGTCTGAATCCCCAAGTGTCCTTGGACCTTTTTTATTTCACTCTCCTTTTTTTTCCTGCTTTAAATTTTTAAAAAATAGGTATTTACCTTCTTTTCTCTTTTCTCTCTACCCCCAAACCCTCTTGCTCCTAGAAAAGGGCACCACAGAAGTGAAGAAGTGCGACCAGACCTCTGATAGAGTGTGCATGTGCACCAAAGGCTTCGAGCCCAGCAGGTTCATGGCAGATGGCACAGCTCCATCGGGTATGTGACACACGTCGGATTCGGAGCATGCGTCCAAGTATAAAGGCCCTGCTGGCTGTTCCGTCAGTTGTCTCTATCTCCCAAAGAGACATGAGATGCAAAATGCTGTTCTGGGACGTTGTCCTAAGAGGTTTTAATGCACTCCTCATTGACTTCTGTAAATGCTGTACAGAGATGGCAAGAAACCTTACAAGGAAACGGGGGGGGGGGGGGGGGGGGGCTGTACTTTTTAAATGCACACTTTCCTTTTTGTAATGACCCAGATGTACATTCCCATTTCCATGCTGTAGTGTGTGTGTCGTGCCACTCCGCAACAGGCATTGATACACAGATGTGAGACCTCTTTGTAGTCATTGCATATTCTGTTTGGCCCAGCTGTTCTCATCTCCTTCCCATTCTACCTTGGGTTTAATGTATTCTTGTCTCTCTTTCAGCATGCTCAGCCTGTTCTGCTGGGTCTTTTTCCAAAGGAGAAAATAGCAAATGTCACCCCTGGACCAAGTATGTATCACACACCCAGGCACATGAAGCATTGGCTTTCATTGATTATTGTCAGCCTGTTGCTTGTATATCGTTCCCTAGCAGGCGGGCCAGGAAACGGTATTCGTGGTGGCTTTAGGTCCCTGCAAATAGGCTATGCTTCAGCTCGTAGAATTGGTTGGCGCGTTGCAATTTGCCTTTTATTCGCTGGCTCTTGGTAAGAGAACCTGCCACGTGGAAATTTCATGTAACTGGAAACAGTTCCACCACCCACACAGCAGAGCCATTCACCAGCACAACGACCCATGTGAAATTTGGAGAAGCGCAGGTTGTAGGAGGAGGGAGTCTAAAGGAGGCCCCAGGAAATCAGTCTGCCGGTGTGTGGGTAGACTGCTAGCTTCAACCGCAGCATCCCTATGGGATTTTCTTTTAATAAAGAATCAGTTTAGTTTCACAAACATAGTCATAGAAGTAGACTTCATAGGAAACAGGGCTGGAAAAGGCCTTTTTGAGGTCATATATTCCATCCACCTACCCCAGGGAAGGGTCACCTGTGCCTACGCTATTCCTGACAGATTTTTGTCTTAAAGATCCAGCAATGAAGAGTCCCCACTCTCTCTAGGACATCTACCCTGCGGCTTAGCTGTGCTTACAGTTGAAAAGTTTGTCTTAATATGACTACCCTAGATCTCCCATTCTGCAGTTTTAATGCAACTCTAACTTATCTTCTCCCCAGCAGACACGGAGAACTCTTCATACGCTTCCCTTTTTCAGCAAACCCCTACCTATTCAAAGACTGTTTTTATGTCTTTCCTCGGTCATCTTTTCTTAAGACTGAAGGAGCCCAATCTTTCCTAGTAGCTCAGGGGTTTGTTTTTTTTTTTCATTTTATTTTTCTTAAAAGACTTCTGGTAGCACAGGTGCCAATAGAAACAATCTCTTCCTCTTTCAATTAAACAAGTGTGCTCCACTGACAACTGTACTGTCATCGACCTATGCATGCTTCAGGAATTCATAGAGTCTTCCAGGACGAACAAAAACTGAATTGTGAATGGTGAAGCAAGCTAGAAAGAAAATCATTTTTTGAAATAAAACAATTACCCCCCCCATCTTGCAAAAATAGCAGGCCCCTTTTTAGACAACATAAAAGCAAAAAAGAGCATAAGCCCCCTCCCTGCCCCCCATGGAGATCATCTTTAAATTAATTATTGTGCCATTTAAGTAATTGCACACAATTGTTTATTCATGGCATTTTTTTGCAGCTGCACAGCGTCTGGTAGGACGATTCTGCGGGAGGGGTCAGATAAAGAGGATGTTATCTGTGGTGACCAGAAGAAACAGGCGACCACGATTCAGAGCCCAGTGTCCACTTCGCATACCTCCGTCACCACCCACAAAAACAGCACGTTGTTGACAGCACTCATGACTCCCAGACCCAAAAACACACTTTCCATTCCTCCCATTCATTGGGGAGATCAGCCAACTGTCAGCACAGAGCCAACCAACTGGGGTAAGAAGAGGGTCTTGCCAGCTAGTAGGTACTACTAAGTCTTGGTGAATCTTCTGTTCTGGTCGGGGCACGTTGGGGTGTTGAAACCACAGTGTCTCGCAGAAGTCTTTTGGGGAAGATAAGCTTTTGATGAACCAGAAGCTGTGTTCTTGGCTTCCAGCTAGCTAGCCTGGTGATGGTTCCTGGACTTCCATGTGCTGTGGCCCTGGGGCAGCCCTGCCGTGGGGACAACCTTGGGCTCGGGACCCCCCTTTCCCACCACCAAGTTTCCATATTTCCTGTCACGGAGCCAAGCGTGTGGAGCGTGTCGTTTCTCTGTCTCTAGCAAGGCCTTAGGTCTGGCTCTGCTGCAGGGAGCCCGGAGAGTTTTCTAGTCCAGGCCAGGGCTACTGGGTCTCCTAGACCCCCTGTTGCAGAGCCAGGAGCATATAGTGTGCGTCTGTGTGCGCACATCTGTGTATGGGGTGAGTAATGGTCTTTTATTTTTCTTCTAGGGCCTTTATCTCTCATCCTTATTTGCTTGACATTGCTCATGGTATCAGGAATGTCTATTCTCCTACTGATTATTCAGGCGACTGGCAAGGGGAGGAAGAAGAAACTGCAGCCTGCTGAGAACGATCAGCGGAGTGAGTCTCTCTTTGACGATAGCTTCTTTGCTCCCCTTATGTCGAAAGACTTGATGGTTAAGGGTAGTGGTGCTCAGCCTTTTGGTCCCACAGGCCAGATGAGTGGCCCAGTGCTGCCCCCTCTCAGCCCCTGTGTACCTGGATTGGTCCCCAGGGGCCTGGCACTGCCTTTGCTCAGCCCTGCACACTAGGATCCAACACACAGGGCCTGGGAATCCCCGTGGGTCCTGAAATTTGGCAGCAGGGGATTGGGACACCACCTCCCTGCCACCAGATTACTGGACCCATGAGGATCCCCATAGGGCAGACAACATGGTATCGCAGGCCAATTTTGGCCTGTGGGCCAGGGGTTGAGCACCCCTAATTCAGGGGAACACCTGGGTTGGTCTGTCAACCTTAGACCATCAATTTCTACCATGCCAAGCACTTTGATCATAACATGATCTATCTGGTTTAGTGGCTTGGTTTTACCTGAAACTTAAACCTCTGCTGGTGGACCTAATAGACCCAGATGCTTGGGAGTGCCGGAGATTTTAGAGTTGCTCTTGATGTGAAGGCAGGTTGACTCAAACAAATTTAACAGGTTTCATGTTGTAGACTCTTCCTAATTTAGATGCCGTGCACTTGGCCATGGAGCAAACCATGCATGTGCCTGAACCCAAGTCTTGCAGTCCATTAAAACTCCTGTTGATTTATGAGTCGGGCCGGTTTGGCAGGACATGTTATTTTATTCACAGGAGTTTTGCCAAACCAGGCTTGAGGTCTCCCAAACCAACCTTGGCTGGGATGTCCCAGGACAAAATTGCTTGGGGAGAAGTCTGTGGGACTGGGGGGAGTCTCCTGGTAATAGTTATATCCTTAAACATCATTTGTCAGAACTGCATTTGGGAATGTATCCCAACAGCGAGGGAACGCTCCGACTCAGGGAAAGCGTGGCTCCCTAGAGCACTGCTTATAGTCATGTAGTCTGTTGCTCTCCCCCTCACCCCCTGGCAGACATCATCCTTGTGTTGCGGGATAGCCGATACGTGTTGTTTAGATGGAAGAGCACATTAACTCTAGGGGCAGAAGCTAAACGCAGTAACCTGGCTGCCTGGGTAGCTAAAGAGTAGCATCCCAGCAAAGAGGGGCCAGACAAACGTCATTGATGCTAATCTTTTGGAAACATTTGATAAAGCCCTAGAGGATAGGTACTGAAATATCCCTGCCCAGCCCCCACATTTGCTCTCCTCCTTGCCTTTATCTTTCCATCGTCCTTCCTTCTCCCCTTATCTTTATTTCATTATCTGTTTTCTTCTGTGCGGTTCTGTGTGTACGAAAGTATTTCACACGTATGAACCCAGCTGACCTACAGTTCAAATCAGCTCACTGAGTAGGAGGACTGGACTTGTATAGTAGGCCATTAAGAAAAAGAGAGAGCATAGGTTCATATACTGTTGAGAGACTCTATATCTATATAGTATTATATAGAAATCATTGTTCTGAGATGCCTCTTAATGTTGCTTCTGTTTACGGACAAATGAGTTGGCTAGGAGTTTTTCTTTCTTCCCCCCACTCAAATGAATGGGAGTTTGTGACTAGACAGTACTGTTTGATGGGTGGGCTCTGCATTCGCAGCTAGCTAGAAGCATGGCTCCGGGCTGGCCGGCTGATGGTAGCACCAATAAACAATGTTCCCATTATTCCCCACACCTATGCAACTGAGGTGGGATCCCCAGTCTTGGCTGGCCAGGACATCGCTCTGTCTTGGTGGTTCCTGTCTGCTCCTGTGTTCATGAAACAGAGAGCTCCTGGGCTTCCTTTTCCCTTTCTGCTTTGTACGATGTTTCTTTACTGTGTCTTTCAGAAGGAAGGAGCTGTCGCATTCCTATCCAGGAGGAACAAATTGACTCCAATTCCAGCCTGATCAAAAACTGAGTCCCCATCAGGCTATCACGTACTGCATTTCTGAGCCAAGCAACATTAACCCAGCAGTGTGACAGCTACTCCCTGTGCGAAGGAATATTCTGCGGAGATATGTATATACCAGTGTGCTTGAGTGTGTGAGAAGGTTAAAAAACGAGCTGTACCTCTGAGTGTACTTGAGCGACCCTCAAGTGTCAGGCCGTGCACGTTTATTTTGGAAGCACATGACTCTTCATCAATCAGACCAGGCCTGCACCTACAGCACCGGGTGCATCAGCCCAGTTCACCTAGCAGGCCTGGCTGAATTTGGACAGCGGCACCCCTTTGGGGGTCGGTAAACAGCCAGTATTCATTAATCAAAAGTATTATTTACTTAGGAATATAGGAGCAGGGCCTTAGAGAGGAAGAATTTCAAAACCAAAACCTGTCTATGTGCATGCCTACCTTACCTGGAGTCCTACCGTGCTATGATGGGGACCTACTCAGGCCTGGTTTTCCTAGCTGCTCCCACCAGGCTCATGTACCCGACTCATTTACCAGTCTGGTTGTCCTGTTGTCTCTTCCCTCTTCCCTCTGTTAAGGAGCGTCCCCTTTAAATCCTGCTCGATTTATTGTTCTCAGGTCTTGGCCTCAGCCCAAACCAGTCTTGTAGGTTGGCTGGGGATACAGAATTGGTGAAGCTATTCATTCTGGCATCTAACAGCTTATAGCACATAACAACTCTAAGTGTTGGCTGAGCGGTTGTGGTTATCTGACACGTCCTCCCACTCTTGCATCCTGACAAATGGTTCTTGTGTACATTGCAGTGACCGAGCCAACAGGTAATTTATGAATAAGTTATTAATCCTACTGTAGGTCAGCTCCAGATTTCTTTGTGTGTGTATGTGTGTTTGTGTGTGTATGTATTGTGGAAGGAGTCTTTATACGGACTTGTATAAGGGAAAGCAAATTCAGATACTTAGGAACATTACTGATGGAGACTACAGCTTAGGGGACAACTTGCGAGTACCATCTGCCTTGACGGAGGGCCTTAGTGGTTGGTGTTTGTACCACTGCATCATCTGTAAGCTCCGCATGCCCAAGACACACCTTTTTGGGCTTCCTGTTTATGTTCCTAGGCAGCACAGCAAGCATCCTGTTAGGATGGGCACCTGCAGCGTGCATCTCCTCAGCCAGGATGTGGTCACATCAACCAAAACTGGACGTAAGCTGTGGTGTTCTGGGGCAGGCAGCCTTCTTAGAAGGGACCCCTAGAAAAGGGTACAAAAGTGAGGTGATGTCTAATGGGAGAAGAGGATGAAGGATGGAGTAGACAGAGTGCAAAGCAAGTGCAGAAAGACTTCTTTTTTTTAAAAAAAAAAAAAAAAAGGAAGGGAACGAGGAGATGAGAAAATTTCCACTGGAAGCATAAAGAACGACTGCTGAGCTGGGTCCTCATTGATTGCCTTCTTGACTTACACACTCAACTGCAGCCTTGGTGTTCATGCAAGACCCTGCAGACCAGCAAGCCTAGGTGTGGAGGGCTTGCCTGCCCCTAAGTTCCCTACACTGAATCTCTGTCTCGAAAGGAAGAAAGAAGCTTCCTAAACTCCAGCGAACGCTGTAAACCTCACAGGTGCCTTGAGGTTTACAAACGGTGAGGCCTGGGAGGGTCTCCTGCCACCTCACCCTGCCTGTAGCTCTGTAGGTGAGCAAGGACATTCAGTAGCACTTGTGCTTTCAAACACTTCTTCTCCAAGGGACCTTGGCAAACTCTGCTCTGCAGGAGGATGCCTTTCTGCTCTCGTTCTCATTCTTGGGAGCGCAACTAAATTGTGTATCTGTGAATAATTAAAATAGCACGGTGTGCTTTTTGTTTCTTTTTGGGGAATCGACGGGTTTGATAGCACAGCAGTGATGTTTCTGGGCCTTCTGGATGTGGCGCGCACAGTTCAGACTCAGGCTGTCAATCTTTATTTGAACTTTCATTTTCAGAGGATGGTACCAGGGGAAGCCCACGCTCGGAAAAACTAAATGAGCTCAGTCAGCCTGGTCCTGCTTCCACTTGAAATCCAATGAGAGTTCTGCCTCGGGAGAAGCAGATTATGCAGAAAAATGCTACATCAGTTTCTAAGGGTATTCATAGCGGCGAGGTTGCATATCTGCCACGGACGATTTATTTTCTAGGACCTAAATGAGATTTAAAATCAGTGGGAATTTCCCAGTTAAAATCAATATATTTTTCTGTAAATAGCTTTTGTTTTGGTTTCATGTTCCTCAAATTGAAAAAAAAAGATGCTATTGTATAACTCAAATATTTTTCATGTTCAAGTTTAGTGTTTTATAGGTAGGTAAAAAGAAGAATCTATATTTTGTATACACAGTAACCACTGCATCTGCCAAGATAGGCCGAAGGAAACAGCATCAGGGAGCCCAACAGGTGCCTG